TGAAGGGTACAAGTAATATGAAACGGAGTAGTTTTTTGCATGTAGTCAAATTCAGCAGTTGTGTTTACGGTGCGAACGGTTACGGGACTTTCATGTGTTAAACGATTACGGGACGCTGTATACTTCCTTCGAACTCCCCTCGATAATTGTAGCTCGGGGTATGCATTTATCTGTCATATATGCAGAAAAGGATTTGACAAAGTATACGTGTTGTATTATCCAGTTGTTAGTGCTCCTCTGAAATGGTATACGTTACGTTTATCGAGGGGGGAGTTCTGGAATTCTGTAATTAGGAATGACGGGTGAGTCGTTGAGAAATTTCTTTTGGAAATTTAACTAATACAGCCCATGGACCAACTTTTTATCAAGTTTGACAAGTTGAGGTGGTTGGGGTGCAGGTGAAAGTCAATAAAATTCGAATGAAATAGTTGAAATCTGGAATTAGTGGAACCCAATGACGATACATCAGACTTTCTTAGGTCCCAACTGTGACCACTTCAGATGCTGATTTCCGCTGAAATCTACTTAGAATGGACGAGCACGTAATTTCATGTCGATACGTACGTCAGATTCCTATTGTCAGTAGATAAAATCCTTGATTTTGACCACACTGAACTAGTTATTTCTATCATCACATTGTATCAAGTTTTAAGATAGACAGTACTAGTATTATTACGTGACTTTACAATAAGTAAGTCTATTAGTCCGGTGGAATCGCATTCTATCAAGTACGACAGGATATCACGATATACGAGCTCATCGCAGACAGGTTCATCTGTAACCTAGCGAATGATATCCAGGCATGGCCTATCGGGGCATTTTCAAATCCCATACCATTTGATGAAAAATGGACAGCTTAGAAAACTCCAACTGGGTATTCTATACAGCAATGTATGGAGCCTTCCAAACGACTACTAAAAATGTATATTGACACTGTCTTGCCATATTCCCCTTGGAAGTGTGTTTATACATGCTTTCAAATTACCTGCCTACGTTGACAACGCATATGACGCATTAGCATGGCTGTCGGGGTCTCTAGCACTTCGTGATCAGCTCATCCATCGCTCGTCACTCTAAGATAGTATATGGCTCTGTTCGGCCACTTGGACACCAGTGCTCAAGCTGCCGGTGAAGACGGTTAATACTACGTTAACGTTAGGAGCAGCAATGACAAATCTCTCCAAAACAACATTCTGTATAAACCTAAGGAAGACTCGTTTTCGCTGTATACTAAAGATTTCCATAGCAGTGGGGTTTCTCAGCTGGAAGAGGATGCTGTGATCGACGACTACAGTGTGAATCATGACGACGCTGTGTTACGTGGTCGTGATGGAGGAACATGCGAGATGAAGCAAAACCGAACTGGTGCGAGATATGGCTAGCGCAATAGCTGCTCTGCGTTAAACTACCTCGGGCGTCAAGAGCTTGGCTAAGCGAGGATATCCTTGAGAAATATCCATTGGTTTCGTGGAGTGCGGAGACAGAAGTTTTCTAAATAGATTAGAGACCTATGCCAGCACTTGTAAACTGCACTGGTAAGCAAACATCTACACCTGCAGCAAGAAACGTAGAGCACTCGAAGTTGGTGGGAAAGGCAGCTTGTGCTGCTGTTTGTTTTTTGCGAAGTGAGCTCTAGCATTCTCTCTCTTTCTTCGTCTAGCTCAATTTCCATCATCATGTTTTCTCACTATTTTCCTCACCTTTTCCAACTGCCTCAGTGACACACCCTCAACAACAAAGCCTTTTAGTCGGGTCGGCACCAACCGTGAGGACCAGTACATCACAACAGCCCCA